GATATTAAAAATTTGTTGCTACAAAAATATTTTCATAGCATAATGATCATAATGTAAATCAAATATGCTACATTTTGATTGATGTTAAACCAATACTAATATTTAAAAACTTGTGAAGTAATCGTAATCAAAATTCTTCGATACAAAATCTCTCGATTAAAACTCATTTTTAAGAATTTTGAAGTCAAATGGTATCAATAAATAACTCGCGATGATAAACATTGTTTTCATATCTATCCAAATTTATGTCGCACTTTTTGGGATACATTCATATTAAAATTTAAACATTTCGACCATACGATTAATAGAATGGATGAGTATAATTATGAAATTTGAACCAAACATTTGGTATAAAGATAGAAAAATAAATTGCAATACCATATTGATCTCAAAACATCCAAGAGTAGTAAATAATAGAAATAACCTAAAGAAATTAGTTTGTGATATTCATTTGAAAAACTTTTATGATTTGTTACATAACTTATAGGAACACAATCATGTAAAAAATGAATATAACAAAATCAAATTTAAAAAATGTATTGGAGTGTTATTCATCAATATTTAATAATTTAGTTTCTATTCTACAACACACCAACTCATTGATAAAATATTATCTATAAAAAGGGTCCATAACTCAATTATTTAACACTTCCTCCACGTAATATTAAGTCGATACCTACTACAATCTTTTCAAAATATTAAATGCTTCAAGTGTGGGGTCCTCTTAAGTCAGTCTGTCGAACCAATAAACCATATTTGAAATTAAGAGTTGTCTGTGAATTTGAATGCAAATTTGATGCCAAATACAAGAACATATTGGAAATTATTTTTCATGATGAAGAGGTTTATCCTACTGGTTATCAAATCTTTATATATACCCACTTCATTTAAAGGCTATATTATATTTTATTAATGTGTATTTAATGTCCTTGTTCATGTAGGGTGGACGTATAGTCGGGATGATTCATTCACTCAATATCCCAAAATTTAGATTTCTTAAAGAAGACCAAGTGTATGTTGTTCGCAACTATCAAGCTGATCCAAACATTGGGTTGTATCGGTCCACCATTCACAAGTTTAAGCTTGTCATACATGGATGACCGATCGGTTAAAGTTTAAGCCTCCGATGATATGATTACACAAATCGTTGAAAGTATGTATCAAATGTTTAAGTAGACAATCGATTATTCCAATTATTAGAAGGACAGGACTATGTTGGCACCAACACTGGAAGACTCAATGAGCACATGACATCTTTGAATTTATGTGATGGTCATATGTACTTAAGTTTCGATATAGCATGTGCAAGTCAGACTCTAATAACAATTTTCTATCTGATCTCCACACGCCAGAGTTTTTGAATAGTATAAATATTTCGAAATTCCAAATCATCAGTTGTTTTTTAAAATTAAAACTCTTGTCATATTGTTGCGGAACATGGATAATTTTATAGGTCTATGTAATGAGACACAAGTGGTAGTGACAAAACTCCTCACTCATGTTCTCGAGTGTCAGATACTACTGAGGATCACGCAACTGAGAAGGTGTTGATTCCTAAAATTACTATAATTCCTTCCGATATCAGAATTTCTTTCAAGTTCCAGCGCCATCAATTTCCCATAATGATTTCATACGTCGTGATTGTAAACAAAAGGTAGAGCAATCGTTATCACATGTTGGTTTATTTCTTAAAATGTCAGTTTTAATCATAGGCAGTACTATTTAATGTCTCATGTGTCACCAACCGAAGTGGTTTTAAAATATTAGTTTGTGGTGATATGACTCGCCAACAAATCAAACAAAAAATATTGTGTAAAAGGAAGTATTCAATAATTTAAGTTTTTTTTTTTACTTTTTGCGACCCATTTACTTTTATTACTTGTATACCGAGTCTATTATTTTTAATACTGAATATTTTAAATATTCTTTTAAAATATATTATCTCGTGCATCACACGGGTCGCGACTAGTTCAAAAAAAGGAAGGGCTATGAAAGTTTGGGTCCGATTGTAAACCAAGTGTGTGTAGCAAATTATGTCGTCATGGTTGTTTTGTAAATTTACCGTCCTTTTACATATTAACTGTATTTTTTAAGAATTTTTATAAATATATGATCATTCAAGATAGAAATATAAATATATCATTTATAAACTAATCATAAACTAAAAATTAATTTAAAAAAACCACAAATAATTAGTCATAAACTATAAAAATTAATATTATCACTTAAATCAACTTTCTAAATGCATAAATTAAAAAAACAAATATCAAGCGAATTGAGAAATTTTCTCTACGTATATTAGGATCTTTTACATGTGCACTATACTTTTTTTTATTTTTTCACAAATATATGATTATTCAAAATAAAACTATATAGAAATTATTTATAAACGAGTCATAAACCAAACGTCATGCAAATTAAACATTATTGACAAACTAAACTATAAATCGTCAATTCATGAATCATAAAAAATAATATATTTTTAATAAAAAAAACTTCCTAACTGTAAAAGGAAAAAAAAAAAATGTTGGTAGAATTCTTAATACTTGTTAGGCCTAGTTAGGGGGAGCCGAACCGAGCTCGAGCTCGGCTTGTTAAGGCCTCGAGCTCGGACTTTAACGAGCCAATCTCGAATTTTTGAGTCGAACTATAAAAAATTATATAAAAATTCTATCGAGTCGAGCTCGCGTTGATTAAACAAGTTTTAAATTACCTCGAAAATAACTCGTAAAGGCCTCAAACTCGAGTCAAACTCGAGCTTTAACGAGCCGAGCCAGTCTCGTTTAATTTAACAGCACTAGACCTAGCAATTGTTTTATATAATTGGGCTCTGGAACACGAATCACCCATAAATATCAATCAATTGGACTCTGGATTGGGCCATCAGTTTATTCAGCATAAAACTCCTCTGTCAAATTCTTTCATCTTCAGTTGGCTCTGCTCCGTGAGACTGCGACTGTCGTCTCAGGTATTCATACAATACTACCACCATTTTTTGCTTTTTTCTTTAATTTTTGTTTTTGGGAAAAATTAATTATCCCCACAAATTTATGTTCGAGTCCCTTTTTTTCTATGTATATATTTTTTTATTTTTCGATCATGCGCAGAAAAATGTAATCTTTGATGAATAACGATGAAGTACCTTATGTCGGAAGTTTTTATGTATGAGATGGCGATTTGAGCTCAATCTTGTTTTTGTACGAATGTAAGTGTGTGTGTGTGTGTGTGCCTACGTGAATTGCGATTTTGGTGCAACAGTTTAGCGTAATTCCCAACCCTAATAAGGCTTTAATTTGGGCTGTGGACATGGACAGATAGTCGAAAGAAAGAAAAATTAAGTAGAGCAATGCAGCTGATGATAGTGTGAAATTGAGAAAATTTTGCACTTGGAACTATCTTGAAATCCATGGGATTGTCAATTTGGTTTGGTTTCGTCTGGTTTGGTTTGGTTTGGTTTGGTTTGCGTATTACTATTTATTTTACGTTTATCATACACCGGCAGAATTTAGGGTTTTAATGGCTTGAAGCACACTGGTATTTTCGTGGGAATACGTAATCGCTACAATGTTTTGCCATTTCCTATTAATATTTGAGTATGGCGTGTAGGGTCTCCCGATTATGTATCTAGAGGCGTTCTTGCTATATTAATGATTTGAGTGGAGCGGCACATCTTGTACCAGCTTAGATTTGCAGTTTGCACTTGTATTGTAGCATATCTTACTCTTGCCGTCACTCAACCTGAGATATTTATTATGTGAGGATTTGTTATCTATTATATGTAGAATTGTGTGCTTAGGGGCGGCTAAACAAGGTTCTATCCATTTAGTTTTAGTACAGAACTTATGTTTTTACCAATGCATTGAGTCCAGTAATCTTTTAAGTCCTCTATCTGTGTATTCATCATCTTCTGACGATCAGTATGTTTGAGAAATATTAAGATTTTAGCTGAAAACATTTATTTTTATCTCTAGTTTCTTTTGTTCTTGAGGCTAGTATATATTTATTTAAAACCAAATAGGAACTCCGGTTTGTGGATTAATAAACTTTCCGAACATGGCCTTTGTGTTTCTATTCCAGCAGGCCAGCCGGAACCCTAAACAGTCGAAACTCATCTGGCATGTCCTAGAAA